CACTCAGGGCCTCTTTCCCCACTCCCCACCTGACCACAGCACCACAGCCTGGTGCTCTAACCCTGACCCAGCCCTGACCCAGCTTCTGCAAAGCCAGCCTTGGGACTGGGTAGACAGGGCAGCATGGGGGTCTCAGACCTGTGTGAGTTGGGCCTGACCTGCTCTTGACTTTGTCCCCAGTCCTGCTGAGGCTGCAGGGAGAGTGTGCCCCAGATGGGGACAGGGTTTATGTCTTACTTCCCTGTCTGCCGGTGTCACTGTGCTCTTCATTGTTATCATCCCACACCTGACACTAATAGTCAGCCTCGTCCCCGGCCTGGGCCCCGCTGATGGTCAGGGTGGCCGTGTTCCCCGAGTTGGAGCCAGAGAAGTGGTCAGGGATCCCTGAGGGCCGGTTGCTATCCCTGTAGATGAGCAGCACAGGGGCCAGTCCTGGCTTCTGCTGGTACCAGCTCACAGCATAACTTCCAATGCTATCTCCCCCACAGGTGATCCTGGCCGTCTGTCCCAGGGACACTGACACTGATGGCAGCTGTGTCAGCTCATAGGAGGCCATGGAACCTGCAAGAGAGGGAAGAGAGGGGCTGATCAGAGGATGGACCCATTCCAGAGTGTTGTCTCTGAATCTGTCTTGGGCTGTGCTTCTGGATCAGGGCAGGGACAAGGTTAGGGGCTGTGTGGTTGAGCCTGGCAGCAGGGCCAGGGTGGCCGCACCTGTGCAGAGAGTGAGGAGGGGGAGCAGGAGAGGGGTCCAGGCCATGGTGGAGTCGCCCAGCGCTGCCTCCAGAGCTCACAGCACAGCTGGCTGCCCCAGGCCTCTCTTATTCCCTCTCAGGCCAGTGGGGCAAGGATGGTAGTGTTTATGCAAATTCCCTCCCCCGGGACTCTGCACAGAGCAGAGCTCAGTGTCTGCTCCTGTGCAGGCAAAACAGGGCATAAGGAGAAAGGAGGGGCCTGGAGCTTCCTCTGATCTGCCTCTCTGCTCAGGATATTCTCCTTGACCTCGGAGGCCCCTGACCACAGCTAGGTGCACTTCTGACCATGGACCACAGCCTCCCACCACCCCCAGCCTTACTGTGTCATGGGCCCACCTCAGCAGGCTGTGTCTCTTTCATCAGCCTGGCCATGGTCTGGGCTGGGTGCTTCTGAGAGGTCACGGTCAGCCCCTTACTCAGCAGCAGGTGCACCCTGGTCCCCAGTGCACTTCTGTCCCACTGCACTTTCCATTGCCTTTCTCTAGGATTTAGATTTATTTCACATAAGATAATATGCTTCTTAAACATCCACATGCTTTTTTAATAAATATTCTATGTATTTAATATTTGAAAGATTTTATTTTATTTATTAATTATTTTCATTTATTTGAAAGACAGAGTTACAGAGAGAGGAGGGAAAGAGAGAGAGAGGTCTTACACCTACTGGTTTACTCACCAGATGGCCCCAATGGCCGGAGCTGTGCAGAACCAAAGGTAGGAGCTAGGAGCTTCTTCCGGGTCTCCTACGTGGGTGCAAGGGCCCAGGGACTTGGGCCATCTTCTACTGCTATCCCAGGCCATAGCAGAGAGCTGGTTCAGAAGAGAAGCAGCCAGGACTATAACCAGCACCCATATCAGATGCCAGTGCTTCAGGCCTTTGATTTACCCTGCTGTGACACAGCACCAGCCTAATTTTTAAAAGATTTTAATCATTTTCATTTTATTTGAGAGGGAGACAGACAAGATAATCTTCCATCCACCAGTTCAATCCAAAAATGCACACAAAAGCCAGTGCTGGGCCAGTCTGTAGCCACGTGCTGGGTCCCCAGCTTGAGTGGCAGGGACTCAACTCCTTGAGCCAGCACCTGTGGGCTCCCCGGGTGCACCTCAGCAGGAAGCTGGAATGAGGAGTGGAATCTGCACCACAACCAGGCAGTCAGACGTGGGATTCTTGTGTCCCGAGTGGCATCCTAACCACAGCGCCAAATGCCTGCCCCAACTGCTTGTCCTTGTGGACTCATCACAGCCTCTGTCTCACTTCCCATGAGGGGTTTGCTCCCTTCACCCTCATCCCATAACAGACGTGTGTGTTGTGTGATTTTGGTTTTTCTCAGGAATCTTTAAGATTAATAATTTTTAATAGTGAGAAATCCAGTCCTGGCTGGGAGACCCATTGCAGGCTCCAAGGCCGTGGTGAGATCTCAGGGTCATGGTCGCTGCCCAGTGCTGTGCTCTGTGTGGGGCAGCTGCTTTGCAGTGCAGGCTGAGGCTGTGGGGTCCTCACCTGGTGCTGTGTGTGTCCTGGGCTTCCCAGAGCCCGTATTTTCACTTGTGTGTGTGTAGACCCTCATACCTCTCCAGGATCAATTTCTGCTTGTATCTGCCCCTGGTGTGTCCCAGGGCTTGCTCTCTGCTGCCCCCCACAGGGCTCTGCAGGCTGCTGCAGCAGGGGGCCTGGGCTGGGCGGGGCTGCTCTCTGCCTGGCTGTTGTTCTCAGAGCTGCTGCCTCCAAGAACTCTGTGTTTATGGCTTTCACTGCATTTGTATCACCTGTTTTCATTATAAAATTCTTGTTCCTATCGATTCTCAGCCTTTTGGCTAAGAAAAAGTATAGTATCTGTTCTTATCAGTTTAAATTCTTAATCTATCCACTTTCCCACCTCTCCCATCAAGCGATTCTGAAAGCACCACTTAAATTGCATGAAGTGGCCCTGTAGCTCGCTGTTTTCTATTCCTGCTTTGTAGATACTGTGAGTTTCATTCTGCTTGCTGGTCCCGCTGTGTCTTCAAAGTCGTGCCTCTTTAACTTCCGACTCTGATCCATCAGTTTGCATAGACTGTACCTTGTCCCAGGCTCTCCAGGGTCCTTGCTAGAAATTCTGTCTAGTTCAGTGTTGTCTCTTCCCCGTTTCCGTGTATCGGAGGAATCAACTCTCCCCCAGCATCACCGGGGCTGCAGGTGCAAGCACTGATTTCCTGTCCAGGTCTAGTATGATGCAGTCTGCACATTTTGGGGCCACATGGTGTGGATCATCTTTTCTGCTTTGCTGTGGCTAGAGTTTGCTGCTGTTTTGCAGTGGTTTTGATGAGTATCTGCAGTTTGGACTTGCCCTCTTTGGGCCCATGGTGTTTTTCTATTTGTCCCCGTTTTTCTTTCAGTCATTGTTGGTTCAGTAAAGTTGCTTGGACAGGTTGGTCCCCCTGGGCTCTTGCCCTTGACTGCAGGGTACGCAAAGAGATTTGAGTCTGCGTCTGAGCTTCCCCAGTACTGAGCAGACTCCTCTGACTGGTGACCCTGATGCCTTCTGTGAGACTGTCACCACTCCGAGTGTAGGAACAGGGGCAGTTAGCCCTGTTTATGTGTGTGGTTGCGTGTGTATGTGTGCTTGCATATGTGTGTGAGTTTACGTGTGTGTCTTTGCTAGCCTGAGTTTGCATGTGTGTGTTTGTTTCCATGTGTGTTCCTGATTCTTTGCATGTGTGTTTGCATATGTGTTGATTACATCACATGTGTTCCCATTTATGTTTAAGTGTTTGCATATGTCTGCATGTGTGTGTTTCCATATGTCTCTGTGTCTGTGTTTGCATTTGCGTGTTTGCGTGTGTGTCTGTTTGCATATGTGTATTTGCTTTTGTGTGTTCCTGTGTGTGTATATCTAGGTATGTGTATTTGCCTATGTGTGTGTATTTCTGCATATATATGTTTCATTGTGTGGGTGTCCGCCTGTTTGTTCTGTTCTGTGTCTGTTTGTATGTGCACACATATACATTTCTGTTTGTGTGTTTCCACGTGTTAATGTTGCTGGTGTGTTTGCGCATGTGTGTGAGTGTTGGCATGTCTGTTTACCTGTATGTGATTGTTTGCTTGTGTGGGTCCCCAGCACAGTTGCTCCCAGATATCTTCGGGGTTGTTTCTCAGCCTCACGGTTTATTTCCCACCTTCCCTGCTCATCAGTCAGTGAGAAGGGCACAGGTCCAGAGGCGTGTCTCTGCCTAACCACTCCCTCCCCCATTTCCCTTCCCGTCCTTCTACATAGCTTGCACTTTGAATGTCCCAGGAATAAAACTCTAAGGGAGGACTGCATGCAGATGGCCATTGGGATGTATTCTCTGGGGGGAAGTGTGGGAGGACACTGGGCCCCTGCACGTGCTGGACTGGAGGCTGCAGCTGGGAGGTCCTTCCTCGTCACCCGCCCCTAAGACAGGGAATTGGCTCTATGGTCTCAGGCAGGTCCTGCACCTGAGCCAACTCTGAGTGGAGCTTGGCCTTGCTGGGGGGTGCTCGGCAGCCCAGGTCAGTCGCAGGTGTGGGCAGTGCTGTAGCTCCCAGGGACTCCAGCAGCAGGGTGGGAAGGGCAGCTCTGCAGAGCAGGTCTCCAGCACCCCCTGCCAGGAACTTCTCTATAAACCCAGGGGCCATGGGAGCTGGGGATGACCTGGGCAACTTGGGCATCTTCCAGGAACCCTGAGAGTGAGTGGAGGCCCTGGGCTGGGAGCAGACCCCACACACATGGAGACCCAGGCCCCAGAGCCAGCAATGGGTGTCTCCTCTGTGTGTCCTTCCACTCAGGGCCTCTTTCCCCAATTTCTACCCAGACCACAGCAGCACAGCCTGGTGCTGTCACCCCAGACCCTAGGCCTGACCCAGCCTCTGCAGAGCCTGCCTGGGGTCTGAGACCTGGGCCAGCAGGGCCTGACCTGCTTATGGCTTTGTCCCCATCCTCCTGGGGCTGCAGGGAGAGTGTGCCCCAAATGGTGATGGTTTGTGTCTCACTTCCCCATCTGCCTGGGTCACTGTGAGCTCCAGCACTGCTGTCCCACAGCTGGCAGTAATAGTCAGCCTCGTCCCCGGCCTGGGCCCCGCTGATGGTCAGGGTGGCCGTGTCCCCTGAGTTAGAGCCAGAGAAGCGGTCAGGGACTCCTGAGGGCCGCTCGTCATCATTATAGATGAGCAGCCCAGGGGCCAGGCCCGGCTTCTGCTGGTACCAATGCACTGCTTTACTTCCAATGCTGTTTCCCCCACAGGTGATCCTGGCCGTCTGTCCCAGGGACACTGACACTGATGGCAGCTGTGTCAGCTCATAGGAGGCCACGCAGCCTGCAAGAGAGAGAAAGAGTGGGGATTTGAAGACCAGGGATCCAATCCCAAAGAGTTGCTCTGAGGCTGAGGTCAGGTTTGCAGCAGGTACAGGCCAGGTCCCTTGGATTGGAAGCTGGGGGCAGGGCCATGGTGGACGCACCTGTGCAGAGAGTGAGGAGGGGGAGCAGGAGAGGGGTCCAGGCCATGGTGAGTCGCCCAGCGCTGCCTCCAGAGCTCACAGCACAGCTGGGCTCCCCAGGCCTCTCTTATTCCCTCTCAGGCTGTGGGGCAGGGATGGTGGGGTTTATGCAAATTCCTCTGTCTCCTACAGGACAGGCAGGGACCCACACACTTGAGTCATCACCTGCTGCTCCCAGATGTGCCCCGCGAGTGCAGTAGCAGAAAGCTGGGATCAGAAGCGACATCGGCACTCGACTCAGCCTATCAGATATGGATTGCCTGTGGCCCAGGTGGCATCCTAACCACTGCCCCAAATTCCTGCCCCACTGCTTCTGTGGTCTTCTCATGGCTTCTAGTCTCATTTCCTCGTGGGGTTTGCCCCCTTCTGTGACTGCACCCCCATTAATGTTAGACCAGCGACGGATGCTGGGAATTTGTGATGGTTTCCTCTCAGGAACATTTAATTTAATTTTCACATTTTATATATTTATTTATTTGAAAAGCAGAGTTATGAAAAGAAGAATAAGAGAGGTGAGAGACAGAGTCTTCTGTTAGCTGGTTCACTCCCCAAATGCCCAGAATTGCTGGTGCTGGGCCAGGCCAAAGCAAGGAACCTGGAGCTCCGCCTGGGTCTCCCACATTGGTGGATGGGGTCCAAGCAGCCGGGCCATCTTCCACTGCTTCCCCAGGTGCACAGGCAGGGAGCTGGATCAGAAGTGGAGCAGCCAGGCCTGGAACTGGCATCCCCATGGCATGCCGTGTTGCAGATGGTGGCTCAGCCTGCTGCACCACAGCTCCATCCCCATTCTCTCAGGGACTTTACATTAAATATTTCCAAAGGTGAGAGACCTAGTCCTGACAGGGAAACCAACTGCAGGCATTGTACCCTCTGTGTGAACATCAAGGTCATGGTCTTTGCCCGGGGCAGAGCTCTGAAGGGTAGGAGGTCAGGGGTCCCTAAGGGAGGGTTCTGTCACTGCAGCCAGGCCAGTTGTATGGTCAGAGCGGTGGCCAGAGGCAGGGAGAGTCAACCTCCCTCTGCAGAGTCCCCTACAGGAGCTGTGGGTGCTGTACCCAGGGACCAGCTCCACCTGTCCTCTCCCCAACCTGAGATTGCACCTGGGCTCAAGGACTGAACGCTGATACAAATGAGCTGCAGGGAAGAAGAGGCAAGGAGAGGAGGGTCAGGGCAGCTCTGAGAGTGTCCAGGCAGAGATATCAGCCCCAGGACCCCTGTTGGCCAGTGAGCTTCATGGCCCTGAGAGTGGGCAACAGGCTGAGGCCCTGCCCTGGGGGGAAAGAGCCAGGCCCCGGGAGCCCTGGTGTCCCGCCCCGTGCTCCCTCCTGGTGCCCCAGACAAGGAGTGGGATCCCTGTGAGCCTCACTCAGCTGGACCTGCCCACACTGTGCCCAGGGACCAGGTCCTTCAGTGCTTTTCTCAGGTGTGGCCCTCGCTGAGCCTGTCCTGGGCTGGCCCTGTGTGAGCCTGACCTCAGAATAGGGTCCTTGCACGCCCTGGGGATGGGACGGATGTTGCTGACCTCCACTCGCAATCCTGACCTTGGACACCTGTTGCTGTCTGGGGACTGGCCTCCTTCTCAGGCTCCCCCTGGGCAGCCCCCTGCCTGGCTGGGGCTTCTGCCTGCAGCTCTGCTGCCCCCTGCTGGTGGAGGAGATTCTCAGCCAGGGCTTTTCTGCACCCAGGTTCCCAGCAAAGCCCCTGTCTCCTGAGAGGGGAGGACAGGGAGTCCAGCCTCCTTCTGTAGCAGCTGTGCCCCTGCCAGCCCAGCCCAGCCCAGCCCAGAGAGGTGGCATCCGTGTGTGCAGGGCTCAGAGCAGGTGCAGTGTCCATCAGTGCTTCCTGGGGTGCTGCGCCCTCCCCAGGGCTGTGTCTGTGTGAGAACAAATGAGACCCAACTGCGACCTTAGCTTTCTGCTCTGAGACTCAGGGGGGCCGCTGTGGGAGACCCTATGGGGGCCAGGCTCCTGTGTGCTCAGGCCCCAGACTGAGGCTCCCCCCACCCCAATGGGGCAGCATTGCTGTCTGGAACTGTGTGGCCCTAGTCTCCACCATGCACTGATGTCATTATTGCCAATGTCACTGTCCCTGTCTTGTTGCTTCCCCCACACCTCTCAGCGTTTTGGGTGTGAGGACTTCTGCACTGGCCAAGCCCACCCCTTGGTGGGACTGGGCGTCTCCTGCTCCCTATGACTCAGGGACCCCATGCTTCCTACAGGACACAGCCTCTTGGCTGAACACCTGACGCTGGATGCCCCAGAGGCCAGGAGTGCCCATGTCTGCAGCTCTCTCAGCAGTCCTCAGAATTCCATCTTCAGCCACTAAAACCCTTCCAGTGCCGTCATAAACTTGATCATTTTTTAAAAGTTTGTTTATTTGAAAGCCAGAGTGATATAGAAAGAGAGGCAGATATTTCTGAGATATTCAGCCTTCTGGTTCCTTCCCCAGATGCCTGCATCAGCCAGGACAAGGGCAGGCTGTGGCCAGGACCCAGGCCTCCTCCCTGCCCTGACTCTGTCCCAACAGTGTGGTGGCATCACCAGGCTGTCACCAGCCATGAGAGTCTTCCTGTTCTGGAGGAACCATCTGCCACTCATGCCCGCCCTCCCATTCCTCTTCCTCAAGCCCCCTGGATAAACACTGTGCTTCCTGCTCCTCTCCTGAGAGCATGTAGCCTTTCAACACCAGCCTCCCCTTACTCCTCTTTGTTTGTGATTGGCAGTTAAGTGTCTGTTTATTCTGTGCTCTGGCCCTGGGCACGTGTGCGATGAGTTTTGTCCTTGTGATGTGTGTGGGGTATGACACTAGGGTCCCCAGCCTGGGTAACCCCCTGTGATTGGTTGAATTCATTGCACCCTGGACTTCTCCATGTCCCTCTGTGCCCCAGGGCTGGAAGAAGAGACAGAGTTCTTCTCCACCAACCTCATCACATGGTGGATTTGCCAGACTCAAACCTCCTCCTCCTCCTCCTCCTCCTCCCCCCTCATCTTCAAAGTCACTGCCACAGAGCTGAAGGAGACGTGTAAGTGCCTGACTTTCCATCCATTGAAATGAGTGGCTGGGCCATCAGTAGGTCCTGTGGTAGAAGCAGGTGTCTGCAGATCCCATCAGGTCATGGTCCCGTTTGCAGGGTCTGTGACCCAGGGGGAGCTGTCAGTCAGAGGGAAGTGGGTGCAGGTGTGCAGGATGCACCTGTGAGCTCTTCTGTCTTCCTTTCAGGGAGGAGGGGCATGGGCAGTGAGCGCGCCCCCGTGGAGTGGGTGTCAGTGGACATCTCCATTCCATCCCTCGGCCTCCTTACTCTCCCTTCTTTATCATCACATGGTCCTTGAGGGTGTGGGCCACCTGCACATTGGAACACCCAGGTGTCTGTCACATCGTGGTCATGGAGCCGATGCCACATGGGGCAGGCACTGTGGAATGGTCAGGAGAGAGTCCTGCACTCAGGGAGTGGAGAATCAAACACAGGTGCCTGGTCCTCCCCTAATCAGAAGCGGGGAGGTTGGTAGTTTCCTGCATTCTAGGCAGGCCCGTCAGCATAAAGGACGGGTTGGTACCGGCAGCCCCACCACCAAGGAGGCTTTGACCCTCATGGACTCCATGGAGTCTGCAGTTGTGTGGGTCACACATGGGGAAGTTGCCACAAAGCAAACATCAGGAGCAGGGAAGGGCTGTGTCACGTGTGTGGCAGTGGTGTCAGCTCCCTGCTGTTTGCGCCCTGAGATCCTGCAGCCTTAACAGAATAGAAGCATTTGTGATGGGAACAGAAATAGTGTGTTTATGGTGGACCCCGTACAGGAACCTCCAGGCAAATTCAAGGAGTTGGTACCAAGGCCAAGTCATTTTCCATGGAATCCATGCACTTTGAGAAAAGCTTGGTTCTGGTCCACGCTCACACCTGCTTCTCCTGCAGAGCCGATGCCCCTGGCCTCAGACAGGCAGAGCAGGGCCTGGACTGCAGTGAGGAGATGCCAGGGTTGACCATGAACTCTTTCTCCAGGAAACCGGGCTTCCAGTGGAATCTAAACTGCTTCTCCTGCTGCTGGGGCTGTGGTGAGAACCCATCTGAGTGAGCTGAGACTGAGGTCAAAGTTATTGCTCAGAGGGTGGTGAGAGGGAGAGGCAGGCCTGCACCGGGAGGTTCTTGTTCCTTGGCCCCATCTATCTGTGCCACTGTGAGTCACTGATAGCTGCTGCCACTGCCATCGTCTGTAGCACAGTAGTAGTCAGCCTCGTCCCCGGCCTGGGCCCCGCTGATGGTCAGGGTGGCCGTGTTCCCTGAGCTGGAGCCAGAGAAGCGGTCAGGGACCCCTGAGGGCCGACTGGTATCCCTGTAGATGAGCAGCACAGGGGCCTGGCCTGGCTTCTGCTGGTACCAGGAAGCATAACTTCTGCTCAGTGTATCTGCAGTGCATGTGAGGGAGACCGTCTGTCCCAAGTTCACCTGCACTGAGGCTGGCTGAGTCAGCACGAGGGAGAGGAAGGGGGAGATGGGCTCTAGGATCACAGGCCTTCCAGAGAGTTCCGTGTAATCCTGGGCTGGTCAACTCCACGGATTTTTGGTCCCACAGGCTGCCCCTCCCATCCTTCTCAGCCTCAGTAGCCATGGGCTGGGCTAGGGGATGGAGCCTTAGAAGCAATGAGCAGGGGCAGCCCCTTGGACTCCCAGATGTCCACAGGCACTGAGATGTGGTGTCTCCACCCCTTCCCTCCCCAGGCAGCAGATTCTAGAGTGCTGTGCCCCCCAACCCCACAGTAGGACTCTGCTGAGCTCAGAGTGAGGCCAAGCAGGTATCAGAGTCCTGGGCTGGGCAGGGTGGAGGCCCTGGGACAGCATCCGTGCAGTGAGTGAAGAGGCCCAGGAGGACAAGGGTGCAGGCCATGGCAGAGGCGCCCCTGAGCTGCTTTCCTGAGGCTCAGGCTGGGCTGGGCTCCTCCCAGGCCTTTCTTATCCCCTGGCTGCTGAGAGCAGCCCCAAATGCAAATCAGCTGGGCTTTGGGCTGCTGCCTAGGAGCCTGTGGTTTCCTGAGCAGGGCTCAGCCCAGGTGCAGAGAGAAGGGCCCTGTGGACCCTGACCAAGCCCTGCGCACTCCTTCCCCTGCTGTCGCCTGGTCTAGGCCGACATTGTCCCCCACACTACGTCCTGGCCTTGCTCCTGGGCTGCCTGGCAGAGCTCAGAGGGGATCAGTCTGCCTCTCCTGACCCCAGTCTGCAGGAGACCCTCAGAGGTATAGACTCAGGCAAGTCACTGCCCCACAACAAGCTACCTGGTTTGTAGGGTCTAAAGGAAACCAACCCCTCCATGGCCAAGGTCACATTGTGTGTTTAAAGGTCCCAACATGTGCCATGTCTCCTGGGACCAGCAGGTGAAATGTTGTGTGCCTTGGTATCCCCAGCATGCCCAAGAGGCAGAAGTGGATTGGGAGATTGAGAAATATTTGATAGTCATAAATTTTTGGCTCAGTTGGTATGGAGAACAGGTGGTATGGGAAATGTGTGTATTTGTACCGATCCTAAAATTGCACGATCTTTACAAGAGGGAGACCTGCGTTGTAGAGTGTCAAGGATGATGCTGTTGAACAATGACCTCTTGTCCTCAAGGACTCAGGTCCTGGTCCCTGAGCTTCCCTGCAGGCTGGGATCCCCCAGGTGCCCAAGGCAAGCCCTGCCCAGGTGGCTGTGCCTGCTAAGTCTTTGCTGCCCCCTGGTGGCTCCACATAGGATGAGGGAGGCTCAGCAGCGTCTCAGGTCCAGGTGCTGCTCAGGTCTGATTCCTGATTAATCACCTGCTTGACCCCTGCTTAGTGTGGCCCCTACCTGCTTAGGGCCCAGGCACTGTGGGAATCCAATGACCTGTGAAGATCTGAACATGCCCTTTGGAGAACGAGCAGATAGGATCCGTCTGTCACTGGGCTGTGGAGTCCAGGGAGGTGGGATCAGGACTTCTTAGCACCATGAGGCTGGGTCTAGCTTTTGCTCTTCCTGTCTGCACACACAGGGCCCACTGGGGGTTAGCAGCTGCTACAGCCGAGACAGACACTGGAGAACATTCAGCCAACAAACCATGATTCAGATCCACTCTGCAAGGGTGATTTCCAACCTAGGGATCCCATGTGCACTTGACACAGCCCCTGCCTTCTCAAGTTTTTAACCAGGTGAGTGGCCCAGGTTGTGTGCAAACAATTGGTTTGCACACACTCACCAGTCTCCACCCCCTTCTGTCTGTGCATTTTTTTGGCATATTTATTTGAAAGCCTGGAACATGCTTTCTGAGTCAGATGTGGCCAGAATAGACTCTGGGAATGTCAGGATTACTATTCTGCTAAGCTTCTCAGAGAACTTTTCACGAGAGAAGGAAGAGAAACCAGACAGGATTATTGCCTCTCCTTTATTTTGATTTTCAGATGTGAAAGATGCAGCCCCAGCAGCGCATGTGTGATGAGATTCCACAGGTGCAGCAGAGGTAAGAACCCACCCTGCAGGCATGAAAACATAGCATACATGCGTAAAGGAGCATGTGTGTGAGGGTCCTGGAGATGGTGCCCTCCTAAGAGTGGACATTGTGGAGGGCTCACATCGAAGGTCCACTGATAAACACTAATACAAAAGACACAGAGATGAAAGCAAGAAGATATGCATTCTCCAACAAGTACCAGGAAAATAACCATGGCCCAGTGAGATGGTCAAGTGGCACAGGACACCTGTAATCAGGTCTCAGTAGAAGAGACATAGGGAGAAGTGAGCCAATGCTGCAGTAGCTTCAGTAAACTCAGTGCGCAGGATCAGACACTCAGTGAGTGTCAGACGTGAGCGCGACACAGCCACGTGCATCCTGGGGTCCCCAGAGCTGTTGCTGAGAGGAAGGCCTTGTAGATCTCTGTGACGCCTCGGGACCACCAGGCAGAGAGAGCACTGCCAGCCACAGATGTGCACGCCCCGTGATTGTTAAACAGTAGTTATTCATTATTTGAAAGGCAGAATTTTTTTTAACTTTATACAATGTTTATAGCAGCTTTATTACTAAAAGCAACAATCTTAAGACAACCAAGAGACCCTTCAACAGAAATCCATGGGGCCTCATTTTGAACGAATTTATTAGATTCTTGTATGCTTTAATAACATGCGAGATGCTATAGGATCACGTCAAAACAAAAAAAATGAGCAAAGGAAACAGGTGAATTGATGCTAAGTATAAGCTAAATCAACTCCAGCACTTTGCCAGGAGCCTCGCTTTTTTTTTTTCAGGCTCTTTTTTTTTTCATTTTCTTGTGTATATACTTTGCTTTTTTAACTTTTATTTAGTAAATATAAATTTTAAAAGTACAACTTTTGGATTATAGTGGCTTTCCCCTCCCATAACCTCCCTCCCACCAGCAACCATCCCATCTCCCACTCCCTCTCCCATCCCATTCTTCATCGATTCATTTTTAGTTATCTTTCTATGCAGAAGATCAACTTGGTATATACTAAGTAAAGATTTCAACAATTTGCACCCACACAGATACGCAAAGTATAAAGTACTGTTTGAGTAGTAGTTTTACCGTTTATTCACATACTACAACACATTAAGGACAGAGATCCTACATGGGGAGCAAGTGTACAGTGACTCCCGTTGTTGATTTAACAATTGACACTCTTATTTATGACGTCAGTAATCACCCAAGTCTCTTGTCATGAGCGCCAAGGCTATGGAAGCCTCTTGAGTTTGCCAACTCCGACCTTATTTAGACAAGGCCATAATCAAAGTGGAAGTTATCTCCTCCCTTCAGAGAAAGGTACCTCCTTCTTTGATGGCCCGTTCTTACTGCTGGGATCTCACTCACAGAGATCTTTCATCTAGGTTATTATTTTTTGCCAGAGTGTCTTGGCTTTTCATCCCTGAGAAACTCTCATTGGCTTTTTAGCCAGATCCGAACGCTTTAAGGGCTGATGCTGAGGCCAGAGTCCTGTTTTGGACATCTGCCATTCTATGAGACTGCTGTGTGGCCTGCTTCCCATGTTGGATCGTTCTCTGCTCTTTAATTCTATCAGTTATTATTAGCAGACACTAGTCTTGTTTATGTGATCCCTTTGATACTTAATCCTATCATTATGATCAATTATGAACTGAAACTGATCACTTTGACTAGTAATATGGCATTGGTACATGCCACCTTGATGGGATTGATTTGGAATCCCCTGGCAAGTTTCTAGCTCTACCATTAGGGGTAACTCCGAGTGAGCATGTGCCAAACTGTACATCTCCTCCCTCTCCTATTCCCACTCATATATAACAGAGATCACTTTTCAGATAAATTTAAACACCTAAGAATAATTGTTTGTTAAAGAGTTCAACCAATGGTATTAAGTAGAACAAAAAAACACTAAAAGGAATAACGTAGTAAGTTGTTCCTTGACAGTCAGGACAAGGGCTGATCAAGTTATTGTTTATCATAGTGTCTGTTTCACTTCTACAAGTTTCCTTTTAGGCGCTCAGTTAGTTTTCACAGATCAGTGAGAACATATGACATTTGTCCCTTTGCAACTGGCTTATTTCACTCAGCATGATGTTTTCCAGATTCCTCCATTTTGTTGCAAATGACCAGATTTCACTTTTTTTTACTGCTGTATAGTGTTCTATAGTGTACATTTCCCATAATTTCTTTATCCAGCCTACTGTTGATGGGCATTTAGGTTGATTCCATGTCTTAGTTATTGTGAATTGAGCTGCAAAAAACATTGAGAGGCAGACAACTCTTTTATTTATCAATTTAATCTCCCTTGGGTAAATTCCAAAGAGTGGAATGGCTGGGTCATGTGCTACGGCTATATTCAGGTTTCTGAGGAATCTCCAAACTGACTTCCATAGTGGCTTTACCAGCATGCCTTCCCACCAACAGTGGATTAGTGTGCCTTTTCCCCACATCCTCGCCAGCATCTGTTGCTTGTTGATTTCTGTATGAAAGCCATTCTAACTGGGGTGAGGTGGAACCTCATAGTGGTTTTGATTTGCATTTCCCTGATGGTTAGTGATCCTGAACATTTTTTCATGTGTACATTGGCCATTTGGATTTCCTCTTTGAAAAATGTCTATTTAGGACCTTGGCCCATCTCTTAAGTGGATTATTTGTTTTGTTGTGGTGGAGTTTCTTGATCTCTTTGTAGATTCTGCTTACTAATCCTTTATCAGTTGCATAGTTTGTAAATATTTTCTCCCATTCTTTCGGTTGCCTTTTCACTTTCCTGAATTTTTTTTTTTTTTTTTTTGCAGTCCAGAAACTTCTCAATTTGATGTAATCCCAATTGTTAATTCTGGCTTTGACTACCTTCCTCTGGGGTCTTTTCCAAGAAGTCTTTGCCTGTGTCTATATCTTGCAGGGTTTCTCCAATGTTCTCTAATAATTTGATGGTGTTGGGTTGTAGGCTTAGATCTTTAATCCATGTTGAGTGAATTTTTGCTTAATGTGTAAGGTAGGGGTCTTGCTTCATGCTTCTGCATGTGGAAATCCAGTTTTCCCAGCACCATTTGTTGAATAGACTGTCCTTGCTCCAGGAATTGGTTTTAGATCCTTGATCAAATATAAGTTGGCTGTAGATATTTGATTGATTTCTGGTGTTTCTATTCTGTTCCATTAGTCTCTCCATCTGTTTCTGTACCAGTACCATGCTGTTTTGATTATAACTGCCCTGTAGTAAGTCTTGAAATCTTTGTTTTTGTTATACAATATTGCTTTAGCTATTCGAGGTCTCCTGTGTCTCCATATGAATTTAGGCATCATTTTTTCCAGATCTGAGAAGAATGTCTTTGGTATTTTGATTGGTATCGCATTGAATATATAAATTGCTTTTGGGAGAATGGACATTTTGATGATATTGATTCTTCCGATCCACAAGCATGGAAGATTTTTCCATTTTTGGTATCCTCTCCTATTTCTTTCTTTAAGATTTTGTAATTCTCATCATAGAGATCTTTGACATCCTTGGTTAAGTTTATTCCAAGGTATTTGATTGTTTTTGTAGCTATTGTGAATGGTATTGATCTTAGAAGATCTTTCTCAGCCGTGGCATTCCCTGTGTATACAAAGACTGTTGATTTTTGTGCATTGATTTTGTATCCTGCTATTTTGCCAAACTCTTCTGTGAATTCTAATAGTCTCTTAGTAGAGTTCTTTGGATCCTCTAAGTAAAGAATCATATCATCTGCAAAGAGGGATAGTTTGACTTCTTCCTTCCCAATTTTTATCCCTTTAATTTCTTTTTCTTGCCTAATGACTCTGGCTAAAACTTCCAGTACTATATTGAATAGCCATGGTGAGAGTGGGCATACCTGTCTGCTACCAGATCTCAGTGGAAATGCTTCCAACTTTTCCCCATTCAATATGATGCTGGCTGTGGGTTTTTCATAAATTGTCTTGATTATGTTGAGGAATATTCCTTCTACACCCAATTTGCTTAGAGTTTTCATAATGAAAGGATGTTGTATTTTATCGAATGCTTTCTCTGCATCTACTGAGATAATCATATGGTTTTTTCTTCTGCAGTTTGTTAATGTGGTGTATCACATTGATTGATTTGCGAGTGTTGAAACATCCCTGCATACCAGGGATAAATCCCACTTGGTCTAGTTAGATGAGCTTTCTGATGTGTTGTTGTATTCTATTGGCTAGAATTTTATTGAGGATTTTTGGATCTATGTTCATCAGGGAAATTGGTCTTTAATTCTCTTTCAATGCTGCATCTTTTTCAGGTTTAGGAATTAAGGTGATGCTGGCTTCATAGAAAGAATTTTGGAGGAGTCCCTCTCTTTCAATAGTTTTGAATAGTTTGAGAAGAATTGGAGTTAGTTATTCTTTAAATGTCTTGTAGAATTCAGCAGTGAATCCATCGGGTCCTGGGCTTTTCTTTTGGGAGGGCCTTTATTACTGATTCATTTTCTGATTTGTTTATGGGTCTGTTTAGGTTTTCTATGTCTTCATGGTTCAATTTAGGTAGGTTGCATGTGTCCAGGAATCTATCCATTTCTGATAGATTTCCCAGTTTGCTGGCATACATCTCTTTGTAGTAATTTCTGATGACTCATTTTATTTCTGTGGTGTCTGTTGTTAATTCCCTTTTTCATCTCTGATTTTATTGATTTGGGTCTTCTCTCTCCTTTTTTTAGTAAGTTTGGTCAATGGTATGTCAATTTTGTTTATTTTTTCAAAAAACAAAAAAACAGCTCTTTGTTTTGCTGATCTTTTGTAATGGTTTTTTTTATTCATTTCTGTTGATTTCTTCTCTAATTTTAATTATTTCTCTTCTGCTACTAGTTTTGGATTTGGTTTGCTATATTTTTTCTAGATCCTTGAGATGCATTGATAGCTCATTTATTTGGTAGCTGAAAGACAGAATTACAAACAGAACAAGAGTGAACAGGAGAGCAAGAGAGAGAGAGTGATCTTCCTTCTGCTGGTTCACTCCCCACATGGCCACAAAAGCCAAGCCTGGCCTGATTCAAAGCGAAGCTCCAGGAGATTCTTCTGGTCTCCCACGTGGGAACACAGACCCAAGTACTTGTGCCATCTTCCTCTGTTTTCCCAGGTGCTGTAGCGTTGAGCCAGATCAGAAGTGGAGTAGCTGGGACTGGAACTGGTGCTCATGTGTGATGCTGGCATTGCAAGCGATGGCTTCTATCTGCTACACCAAAGCACGAGCTCCTCCCTGGAGATCTGATCTGAGCATTTGTCTCTTTTGCTTCCCTGATGCTCAAATGCAAGACGCAGCCTCAGAGCCAGTTCTCACGCTTGCTCCATGGTGTGGGATCCTGTTCACGCAGCACAGGTGATGTCTTCATTCACCGCCTTTGAGTCTGCAGGGAAAATGCACCAAGTGTGTGAGTGTAGTTTGCATTGAGAGTTTGTGAGCAGGCAGCTGAGTGTGCTATTCCGCAGCCTCACTAGGGAAGTACAGAACCTTGCAAAGTGCACAGTACAGGCAGGGACACCGGAAAAAGTAAACAAAATGCACAATATTGGGACCAACAGACCAGCGGCAACTGCTCTGAGCTGAGAAAGCCCAATCTCAGGTCTGCAGTAAGGACACCTAAGAGCCCTGTGGAATTCCCAATGGGGCCTGAATGGGGCAGTGCTGGGCCAGGGGCAAGCTGAGGTCAGCAGCGTTGCTGCTGCAGAAGAGGGGGTCCCCACAACCTCTTCCTTCCATGACCCCGGGCACCTGCCAGTGCCCTCACAGCCTGGGGAGGGCAGAGCACGGCCACCTGCTCAGGGTCCAATGAGACAAACAGGAAGACATCCACACTCAGTGACCATGAAAGAGTATCTCTCTGGAGACCATGTGGAGAGAAGCTAGAATTGGAGGTCAAGGTCAGGGTGCCTGCAGCCCCTCTGCACACAGGGGAGGGGAGGGAAGCATCGTAGAGCAGGGAGGGAGCTGTGGGCTCAGGGCAGGTTTTGCCTCACTTCCCTATGCACTTGTACCACTGTGGAGAGTGTAAGTATTCGTGTATGAGCTGCAGCAATAGTCGGCTTTGTCCTCAGGCTGCAGCCCCGAGATGGTCAGGGAGGCCGTGGTGCCAAACCTGCAGCCGAAACTCCTGCTTCCTTCCTTCTCCTTGGAGAAGTCAGATCTCTCACCAAGGACAGGGTGAACCCCAGCAATGAGCTTCCCCAAATCCAGGTCAATGCTGCCCCCTGATGGACACTCATGGAGGGTCCCAAAGCTCAGGGAGGGCAGCGGAGTGGAGAGGATGGAAACCCCTGCTCTGCTCCCTCCCCTGCTCTCTGCGGGAGCTCCCAGCTCAGAACAGGTGCACAGGTCCCTTTTCCTCCTCTCAGGGTACCTTCTCTCATCTCAGGATTCCTCCAGGATAAGAGGTTCCTCTGCCTCCCCAGGTGCACAGTCTGCCCTGAGGACCGTGGTGCTCAATGCAAGCTAGTATTGCGTAGATTGTGCTCCATAGGGGAATCTGGTCTCAGGGCTGGGGCAGAGGTAGAAGAGGAGTGAGACTTTATGACGTGGGACAGCTGTGTG